GTAAACTTTCCAAAGTTTCCCCCATTTGTTGTTGACCTCCGCCCTTAAAAATTTCCTTTCGCAAACATTGCCAACTTTTCATATGCAGAAATGGAAGACAAACAAACATTTTAGTGGTCAACAAAAAATATTAAAAATATGAGGGGGATTGGACAAATAAACTGCAAGGGATAGGTTCGCATTTATAGTTAGTCATAGTATCGGTCAACTGAGAAAATTGAGAAAAAAGTAAAGGGAAAGTGGTTGTGTAAATGACAGATCATTTATACGGGAAAGGGACGATAGAAAAAGAATTTTTACAAAAAAAAGTTTGGTTGAAAAAGCTAAATAAAAGGCTCCTATACAACTCATCGAATCCTTAACTCATCGAATCCTTAACTCATCGAATCGGCCAAAAACACTCAACTCATCGAATCCTTAACTCATCGAATCGGCCAAAAACACTCAACTCATCGAATCCTTAACTCATCGAATCGGCCAAAAACTATCAACTCGTCGAATCCTCCCAAAAGGGGACGTTTGAGTCCCAGTGTTTATTTTTTAGATTTTTTATTGTTTTGTTTATTTTTTTTTGTTTTTCTTCTGGGGTTTCAACTGATTTTGTTAATTAGTTGATCGGTCACTCATCCAAGTCTATCCGGTCAGTGAAAACATTCTCAGATCCTGGTAAATTATGCTGGAGATCCTGGTAAATTATGATCTCATTCCTGGTAAATTATGCGGAGATTCTGCGGAGATTCTACCGGGTAAAACCGGACCAGATTAATCCAGTAGGCCCGGATTGTGCCCAAAAGGACTTTTTCCTAGTCTCCAAAGCAGCACAAAAATTTTTTCAACGAAGATTCAGCTAGCCCTTTTGGGAGAAAAATTAACACGGGGACTCAAACGTCCCTTTTTGGGAGGATTCGATGAGTTGAGCATTTTTGGCCTAGTCGATGAGTTAAGGATTCGGTGAGTTAAGGATTCGATGAGTTAATAGTTTTTGGGCGATTCGATGAGTTAAGGAATTTTAGCCGTTTCGATGAGTTGAGTGTTATTGGCCGATTCGATGAGTTAAGGATTCGATGAGTTGAGGGGACACGAAATAAAATGCTAAAGGAAAGGTGGGGAAGGGGGGAGGGATGCTTTAATCGGGTCAAACCGTTTATGAACCAACAATCCTTTTTTAAACTATTCGGCTGTAGTTTACGATTGTATATTTATTTCAGGAAAAATGTGATCGGAAAAGAGGGACGGAAGACGGGAATAGGATTGGCGGTTCCGTATATCCGAGACAGAAAAAAGTCCGGATGTCCGAAGATTGTCGGTTCGGATATCGGTTCCGGATATCCTTAGATTTCCCAGGAATCGTCATCCCTAGACAGGAAGGATGGGGGAAATAAAATTATTAGAATCCGAGTATCAGCATTGTTCGGAGGTAAAAAGCTTAGATTAGCTTTACCTAAAATTAGCTTAAAAATTAGTTTTACCTCCGAACAATGTTGATACTCCATTAATTTCAAGAATTTAAAGGATGAACGAGATTTAATCTTAAGTTTTGGTGGAGTATTTAAACCGTAATCAAATCATAAAAATAATAATTTAAAAATAGGCATATAAACTAGGGTTTGACCCCGACCCCGTACCCCGAACCCCGACCCCGTTCCCGAACGATTTTTTCACGATTCTCCCCGACCCGAACCCCGCCCCGAAAAAAAGTGAAAACCCCGTACCCCGACCCGAAAAGTTTCGGGGTTATCGGGGGTTTTATATACCAAAAAATGCCATTTTTGGGAGAATTTTAAGAGAAAAATCTTAAAAATTTACTCCCAATTTACTTTGCCTTTATTATTTTTGAAAGAAAAATAAAAGAAATATCAAAATTCTTTTTCCTGCTACGTTAAGAGACTTGTGGTTGAGTGGCTTAGTTGTTGGTTTTAGCCTATATTTCCATTAATGTAATATAGGATTGGGTTCGGATCCAAATAAGCTGGGCTCGTTTCTTTTGTAATTTTTCTTTACAAAGTCAAGAACTTAATTTAATTTAAAATGTAAATCTTATTTTTAAATATTATTAACCATAAAAAACAATGTAAAGATTTTTTGTTTAGCTAAAATTTCAAAAATTTTCTTGGTCAGCGCTAAAATAAGCGAAGACATCCGGCTTTTTGACCTAAAAAATTTTAAAAATTTTCGCCTGCGGCGCAAAAAAACGAAAAAAGCTGGCTTCTTGGCCTTATGAAATTCTCAAAATTTTGCCTGCGGCGCAGAAAAGAAAGAGTTACCCTGATATCCATCAAATCCCTAATCACTCGATAACCCTTAAATCAATGATATCCCTTGAAACGGAGTAGTGACCCACAGACAGAAGAGAGAGAGAGAACCCGCCTTGAAACTACCCTTAGTCCCTACAAATCCTCTTATATCCCCAGATATCCGCTTTAATCCCTCCAAATCCTCCTTAATCACTTCCAGATCCAATTAATCACTCAAATTTCTCTTATTTCCATTTAATCCCACCTTATTGTTATTAATTTGTGAATATATTAACGAAAATAGACCCAAAATGGCTCATTTTTAGAGCATTTTTTCTTTAAAAAATTTTTTCCTAAAACCCCGTACCCCGACCCGAACCCCGACCATATTTTGCTCCCCCGACCCGAACCCCGCCCCGAAACAATTCGAAAACCCCGTACCCCGACATACCCGCCCCCGAGCGTTCGGGGTCAAACCCTAATATAAACGTTAAAAACTGGCGATAAATTGTCGTTCGTTCCTTTTAGCGGCTGTCTTATTTTATTGAAGGACATTGCCCCCGAGCGAATATAATAAATTTTTATTTTGGGTAAAGAAAAAGCTTTACCTCCGGCCTTGAAGAATTTTACGCACTTTCAAAAAAAAAGGTATTATTACTAATAAAAAGGATATGGAAAGATATTTCTTGGCGCAGAAAATGGCATCGAAAGTGGTGAGGGGGGAGGGGGATATGGATGTGGGAAGGCATAAATCGTGTCCGGTTAACTCATCTATTCGTTAACTCATCTACACGGCCAAAAACGTTCAACTCATCTAAACGGCTAAAATTCCTTAACTCATCTACACGTCCAAAAAGGGTCAACTCATCTAATCGTTAACTCATCTATTCGTTAACTCATCTACACGGCCAAAAAGGGTCAACTCATCCAATCATCAACTCATCTAATCCTTAACTCATCTACACGGCCAAAAACGCTCAACTCATCCAATCCTTTGGAACGAGACTATTGAGTACCAGTCGTTTGAGTCTCTCGCCGTCTGAGTCTCTGGCCGTTTGAGTCTCCGGCCGTTTGAGTGGTTGATTACCGCCGGTTGAGTCTTGGGCCGGTTGAGTCCATGACCAGTTGAGTCCATGGCCAGTTGAGTCCATGACCAGTTGAGTCCATGGCCAGTTGAGTCCATGGCCAGTTGAGTCCATGGCCAGTTGAGTCCATGACCAGTTGAGTTGAGTCTTGGGCCGCCGGTTGAGTCTTGGGCCGGTTGAGACTCAACTGACCAGGGACTCAACCGGCTAGGGACTCAACCGGCCGATATTTCAAGGATTGGATGAGTTGAGCGTTTTTGGCCGTGTAGATGAGTTAACGATTAGATGAGTTGACCCTTTTTGGCCGTGTAGATGAGTTAACGAATAGATGAGTTAACGATTAGATGAGTTGACCCTTTTTGGCCGTGTAGATGAGTTAACGAATAGATGAGTTAACGATTAGATGAGTTGTATAGGAGCCGGCATAAATACACTAAAAACCTTTTTTTGACGAGTGCTGTTGAGAGAGAAAAAGAAAGAAAAATTGACAAGTAGAGCGTTTTCAACATATCTCTCCTCTCTCTATATTTAGCCAAAGTATCCCCCAAGCTCAATGGGGAAACACAAATATGGAAGTGGATGAATAGAGGGAGGGAGGAGGGGGTGGGGGATATGTTGCTAAAGTAAGGGGTAAAAAATAAATAAAAATACAAAACCAAGTTTTGAAAAGTTTAGTTGAGTCTTAATAAGGATTTTTAAACTAAAATTAATTTAAAATTTTATTTAAAAAATATTTTTGTCAATTTTATACATAAAAATAAAATATTTTTTTGAGTACTGGGAATGACTAAAATTAACAAAAAAAAGAAAAATATTTCGATTTTACAGGATACAAAAGTTAGAATAGTTTGAAGTTTAGTTTAGAACTTTTCTTCATGGATCAGCTATGATAGAAATTCAATAATGAATTAAGATTCTTGTGATTTTACGATAGTGGTTATGCTCTCATTTGGGGCCTTTCCATGATGGTTCTATTCTATCTTCCCTCCCTTTCAATAAATTTTTCAAGCATAAATTTTTAGAATTTTCTTAGAATATTTCGTAATAAACAATTAAACCCCAAATAAATGACGGAATATTCTAGAAATGTTATGATTAGTGATCAGAATTTCGTATCGGTCGGTATTCCGTACTGTACACTGACACGGAATACCGATAGGATACGGCCGTAGTACGGTCCGATCACTAGTTATTTTCCATTGAAGGAGTACGTCAAATTTTTGGAAGGGCAGATAAACAAAAAGTGGTTTGTGCTTGAAAAATTCATTAAACGGAAAGATAGATCACAGAAAGACCCAACTCATTGCCGAAAATGAATTAATTTTCACTTATTAATATTCCTTCTATGTGTAAGGACGATCAACACTGATCCAAAAAAACAAGTTGTGTAAAAGTTATAAAAATGGCAAAAATGTAAACTTGCAGGAAAGGCCCAACAATAAATAAATAAAATATAACTAGATAGAATTCTTTTAAATCACAAAATTATACTTTAAATTCCATAAACTGGATCAATTTTTTGCGGCGGTTGTACTGGGATATTTTGAGCTTCTTGATTAAATTGTTGTTGGTTTTGGCCTGGTGGGTGGACTGGGACTTGTTGTGGTGGAAGTTGACCATATTGTGGATCAGCTTGTGGAGAATGAACTTCTGGTACTACTTGATCATATGCATGGTCACCCCAACCTGCTTTAAGAATAAAAAATTTAGTTGAAAGACGAGAAAAGGTGTTGGAAAGACAAATGAAGAAATTTGATAAAACTTTGGGATAACTTTTAATTTGTGCAGTGTTAAATCTTTAAAAATCAAAAATTAAGAAAAACCCATCCAGTCTTGATAAGAAACTCAATTTTTGAAATAATTCCAAGAAACAGGTCAATGTGTCGTTATACTTATACCCCCAAATGTTGTCATAGTCGAAAAAACAAATTTTAAATTTTAACCTTGTTTTTGTGCATATTCCTTCTCAAAACGTGCCAATTCCTCATCTGTATAAATTTTCTGATCGCCCAAATCTTTCCAACCTTCATCCTTTTGGCCTTCAGGAGCTTGAACTTGTGTATCCTAAAAATAAAATATTTTGCCCTAAATTAAAAAAAATTTTTACATGAAGAAATTCATCCAAAGAAATTAATCTATCTCCATTTTTATCCATTTGTGCAACAACGTGTTCTCTCATTCGATTCATTTCTTCAATTCTGAAAAATGAAAATTTTCTTTAATATTTTAAACAATGTTACCAGGGTTGGAGTTTTCGAGTCGGGCCAACGTTCGAGCATTTTTTCGGACCGGCCCACCGAGTTTTTTTCGGGCCAAAATTCAATGCCCGATTCGATTTTCGGACCTGGCCACCAAACCCTAATTGTCTATCAGTCTTCGGAATAATCCTAATTACGAGGAAGAAATTTTAGCCTCACAAAATAATTCAAAAAAATTTCCGAATTATTTTTCTTATTTTAGACAAAAAATAACCAAAACCCAAAATCAATTTTAACTTTAAAAAATAAACAAACTTTTCTCTTGGATCATCTGCAGGGTCAGATTCATTATAAACCTTCTCCAATTCTAATTGGAATAATGCCTCAATTTCTTCTTCATTCAAAAAACCATCACTATTCAAATCATGTAAAGCGAAGAAAGTCTTTGGATCAAAACTGTTTTTGTCCATCTAAAATTTTTTTAATTTTATTAACCAGTGGATAGAGAAGCTGCTTAAGTAATACCCTTTATTCTAAATAATCCCATTATAAGATACAAATTTTCCAAGAGGTATCTAAAACCGAGGTTAACAATATAGAAAGTGTGTCCACATTAGAGAGAGAGAGAGTTGGGCCTGGGCCAAGACCTGGGTTTTTCCTATACCCAGAGTCCAGGCATTTTTTGACCTTTTTGGGTTTTCCTGGGCCTGGGTTTTCCTGGACTACAGGCCCAGTACCCGGCCAATAAATCAACCCCGGAACCCGGAACAGACCCAGCTTTTCAAAAATTCGATCTCCAGTCCACGTAAATTGGCCCGCAAATTAAAAAAAAAATTTTTTACGTGATCTCTTTCTTCCCAAACTTCCTCAAGTTGTTCCCGCCCTCCTGGGTGTTTTAATTCTTCATGTTCATTATGATGCTTCTTCGTCTCTTCAATTTCTTTAGCAGCTCTATTTCTTTCTTCAGGAGTCATTTGGGCTAATTTATGGTCTTCCTCTGCTTTTTTCTTCATTTCATATTCTTTAAATTCTTTTTTCCTCTCTTCATCTATTTTTTCCATATCGGCAACAGTCTAAAATTTTATTTATTAATTTTAAAAATATTTTTAAAAAATTTATTTCCTCTTCACAGTATTTCTAACGGGTACGTAGCCATGAAAATTTTTCGGGAAAGGAGGATAATAATATAATAATAATAATCGGGCCAAAAATCGTCTTGGCTAAATGACTGTAAAATCTTAAAAAACGCTCTGAATTTAAAAACGGAAAGGTATAAAAGGTATAAGAAAAGTGAAGGAGAGGAACGAAAGGTCATTTTTGAAGATAATACGCGGGAGGATGAACATGTTAATAAAATCAGAATTTTGCAAATGAGAATTCCAAAAAAGACGCTAACAAGACTGATGCTACGCAGGGTCCTTAAAATTCCAGACCCACAAATCCCAAAGCCATTTCTAAACGAATCTAACACTAAGAATATTCCCCTTTAAAAATTACCTTTTTAATTAATTTCCTCAAATCTTCTTTTCCAAATTTCTTCAACTCATTAACATCCAAATGTTCAGGCATAACAACATTTCTCGCGTCTCCATCCTTTTCAATTTGTTTCTCCAAATCTGCTCGAACTCTTTCAATTTCTTCAACTTTTGCTTCCGTTAATTTATCAAAAACATCTTGAGGGAGATCATCCATATGATCAGCAATTTTTCCTTCCTTAATATCTGTCTCACTCAATCCTTTCAATTTTTCCTGGAAAACTGGATGTGATTCCAATATTTTTACGACAAGTTCCAAATATTTGGAGTAAGGGAATTGGAAACTCTAAAAATTGAAAAAAAAATATTTTAAAAAAATTAAAAAATAAAATAAACGTCTGGATAGTCTGGTTCAACTTTATTTTCATTTTCTTTATGTTGTTGAGGCTCATGTTCGATTTTTTGCCCTTCTGCGTTTGGGGGTGGTACGTATCTAAAAATTTAAATAGTATTAAATTCGCCAGTGACTAAACTCGACAGCGACCAAATTCGAGACAGAATTTTAGTTGAGTCGAATTTAGTTTAAAAAATTTTTTGATTAAAAAAATTAAAAAAAATTTTTTCCCGTCGAGTTTAGTCGCTGTCGAATATAATCACTGTTGAAATTACCGTGCAAAAATCATTGGAAATATGCCATAATATATAAACGCAAAAAGAATTATGTAACCCAAAAATTTTCTTAAAGTAATTCTCTCTGCCATCTGAAAAGATTAATTAAAATAATTATTAAAAGAAAATGATTTTAATAAAATGGTTAAAAAAATTCAGAAATTTGGCCAACTCATAAGGACGTAATGTCCTCCAACTAAACAAATAAATACAAAAAAAATTAAATTAAAAAGGAAATTTAGGAAAATATTTTTGTCATTTTAAATTACGTGTCACCTTTCCATTTGAAGAAACAAGACAAAAAAAATTATTTATTTTCAGCGTGCTCTTAAGGAGAAAAAGAAAAAAGACTGGAATTAAATTTGGACGTTTTTACATTTGGCATTTTGTCTGTCGACAAATAAACATTTAATGACAGACAGACAAAACAATTTTTGACTTTTTGTAATCTAATGTCATTTTGGTAACTTTAAATTCTCTAAAATTTTGAAAAATGACCCTTTTGGGTCATTTTTCTTTTTTTAGAGAGCGGAATGAGGTCGGTCCCGTTTTCCGGTCCTTTTTCCCGGCTTTTCTGAAGATGCCGGGATGAAACCGGGATTGGGAATTCCCGGTTTTTCCGGTTCGGGTCCCTGCCGGTTAATTTTCCTTTACCGTTTTCGGTTTTTTCAAAATTTCGCTGTTTAATCAATTAACAATTTTATTTTTCTTATTCTGCTTAATTTCTGCAATATTTTTTATTAAATAAATTAATTTTAAAATAAATTTTAGATTTAATTTAAGCATATAATGAAAATGAGTCAACTTAGTAATAATTCTATGGACCAACTTCTTGCGGAAATGTGTAAACATGTTTCGAGTCTTCAGGACAAATTGCAAGTTGCCGATTCCGCCGCAAACAAAGCACACTCAATTACGGAAGGGATTACCCAAGCTAAGGAGGTTTGAGAAGAATTTTGGTACTACTGAAGAAAAGGGTGCTTTTTCTTCGGACTTATTTTGCGGACTTTTCCTTTCCTTCTTTTTCCCTTTTTTTTAAAAGATAATGTTTTAGCTTGTAGCAAACTAACTGTCAAAGGTCAATTAACGAATGAAGTCAATTAACGAATGAACTGACACTCCTAATTCCCGTTCTAATTCTGTCTGATTTATATGTATCATTGGTCTCCTAGACCAAAGATACATTATCTTAATAATAATTTGATAAAAAACAATTGAAAAATTGTACCTGTATGATTTGTGTCAAAGAAAGTTTTGAATTTTCGAAAAATGTTCCAACTAAAGCACTCTTTGTTTTTCTGCATACTGATTTCTTACATATCCATCTTCCATTTTGTCCACGCTTCTCTTTACGCATTTCTTTTCCACAATCACATGTTCTTTTTCTATGAAGCATTCCGAGATCAGTGATCCATTGTTGAAATTCATCATTGGGTAATTTAATTTTATCATACAATTTAGTTAAAGTAAAATTTTTTATTGATTGTAACATTTTTTTCGTTTATAATGTTTAAATTATTTGTGAACGACATTTTTCAGACCGGCATAAAAAATAATCCGTTGACTGTTAGTTGCTATAAGCAAAACATTTAAACAGAAATGAAAAAAATAAAATTAATCTTCTCTGTATCAATGTCTTTTGTTTGAATATGCCACACGGCAAATAGAGGAAAAGAGAAAGAAGAAAATCTGACCATTGTGTACAATCTTAGGTAAGAAAAATAATGGGGGGAGGGCCGTTGACAGTTAGTTGCTACAAGTAAAACATGTAAAGGAAAGGAAAAGTCCGCAAAATAAGTCCGCAGAAAAAGCACCCTTTTCTTCAGTAGTACCAGAATTTTGTTAATTTTTTGGTAATATTGAACCGGACAGATCCCCCTTTTTCCTCCCCAGTTTTTCCACTATATTTTTGCAAAATGGTCAGACTTTTTCCTTTCCTCTATTTAAATTTCCTTTTCTAATTTTTGTCTACAATCAAACAGAAAGAAATATTTTTGATATTTTATTTCCCATTTTTCCTTCCTAAATTGGGGAGAGAAGGGGGTCTGTCCCAGGCCCGTAGCCAGGATTTTTTTTCGGGGGGGCCAAAGGGGGAAAAAATTTTTTGCGCCAAATTTTTGGCGCCGAAGGCGCCAAAATTTTGATTTTCAGCGCCGCAGGCGAAAATTTTTTGAATTTTGGACCTCAAGAAGCCAGATTTCTTCCATTTTTAGAGCTGCAGGCGAAAATTTTGAAAATTTCGAAGGCCGTAGGCCAAAAAAATTCACTTTTTTTTGCCCCAGCCCTATCCCAAATTTTTCCCTTTTCCCCATTTCGGGGGGGGGGGGGGGGAATTCCCCCCCCCTACCCCCCCCCCCCCCCCCCCCGGCTACGGGCCTGTTCTGTCCGGTTCAATATTACCGATTTTGGTAATCTTCTAGTTTACTGGTCCCGAGAAAAAAATTATGAAGCAGTGCTGTTTCGATATTTTTAAGGGTTACCAGCAGGTAATCGAGTGTGCTGAGTCCAAATCTGAGCTTAGAATTTGCCTATTTCGAACCCCGGGCCCGGATTCGATCAAGTCGAATTAGCGGTAAAAATTCGAAATTCCGATATTATGGCTATTCTGATTTGTCCCTTTATTTTGAGTCGAATGGTAGCAAAATTATTAAGTTTCGACCATTTTAAACGAAGTTATGATCAATTAAATACACGTTATTATAGACTTTTGTGTAGAAAACCGGCATCATAACTTTGTCCAAAGTTGTCGAAACTTCATAATTTTGATAACATTCTACTCTACTCGAATAGTCGTGTTAGAATAACCCTAAATTTTGAATTTCGAATTTTTACCGCTAATTCGACTTGGTCGAATCCGGGTCCGGGGTTCGAAATAGGCGAATTCTAAGCTCAGATTTGAACTCAGCACACTCGATTACCTACTGGTAACCCTTAAAAATATCGAAACAGCACTGCTTCATAATTTTTTTCTCGGGACCAGTAAACTAGAAGATTACCCCGATTTTTTCTTAAACCTCCCAAAAAAATTTTTTTAGTATCAAGAAAAAGTCGCTTCTTTAAATTCTTGTTGGAGGACCAAAAATCGATCTCAACTCGTTGGCAGTCTGCAACAAGAGAATCGTCAAATTGTTGCATTGGGGGAAGAAAACAAACAATTAAAGTTTGCTTTAAAAGAAATGGAGGATGGAATGCATTTAATTATGAGTGACTACCGGCGAGTCCTTTCAGGATTTATGCGTGTTGAAAATTTGGATCAGGCTGTCTGTTCAAAGACTAACAACGTTTATTTTTAATTTTAAATTGAATTAAAATATTTTTTTCAGACTTATTTTGCTGGTGTGGACCATAAAGACTACATTGGAATGGCTAGGGCAGCTGGGAAATATATGGCAGTCACTGAACAGTCAATGGCTGGAGATAAGGCGGTAAATTTTTGGAGTAAATAAAGGTTTTTTGAAAAGCTTTTTTAAAAAAACCTTTCATTTCCATTAAAAAGGTTTTTTTCTGAGTGTTTAATCTTTGGTATTCTTGAGTTTTTTTACTGACCGAGAACTTTAGGTAGGTTGCTTCGCTGTGTCGTGTATATTTTTAATCAAGGTCCCCTTAGTTTTTTCTAGAATTTATTTTCTTCCATTGCTGATTTACGTTAGTTGTCAGTCATTGAAGTAAGCTCCTTTACGTTAGTTGCTTTTCCTCTAGGAGAATGCCTTAATTAGTGTAAAATAAAATAATCCGCATAATTTCATTTTTATAGAAATTAATTTAGGCGTTGAAGTAAGCTCCTTGCCTCAAATATTCTTTAAGAATTATTCCTAAAGTATTTCCCCACAAATTTTTGGCTACTTCTTTTTTTTCCTCAAAATTTTAAATCAGATTCTTTGTCTATATTTCCCTCAAATTTAAGACTATTATGCAATTGGAAGCTGAAAATGTAATACTTCGTCAAATTTTGAATGATATTCCAATCTATCAAGAAGCAACATCCTCAAAGCCGAAAATTGAGAATAACGATCTCAGCAAAATTATTGAAGTTGACGACCACCAAGAAGACTTGTTGAATACTCCAACAAAGGAATCTTTCAAGGAATAAAGAAGAAATGCTCATAAATTCTCTTAAATATTTCTTTGTATTTTTCTGGACATAATTGTGTGTAAGGTATTTTTTTGATTTTTAACAAAAAAGGTGGTTTGGAGTTATTTTTAAATTAGCTATTAAAAAATTGAAAAGAAAAATTTTTAAAAATCCCCAAAAAATTTCTGTTAAGATGGAAGTTACTGACCTCCAGAAAATTAAGCAAAAATGCTCTTTAAAAATATTTTTAGTTTGTTTGTAGGTAATCGAGCTTGCTGAATCCGAATATGAGTTCAAATTTAATTTCGACTCTAGGACCCTGGTCATATCGAATTCGGTTTGGCACATTATAATTTAACGTGTTTTTATATTATTTTGTAAACGTTCAAAAACCACTATTTGTGGAATATAATTTAATAAATTTTAAATAAGCTGCTATGAATAACTCCAAAACCAGCAGATCTTCTGGTTTTGGAGTTACTATTCTAGGGATAATCTCAAATCAGTTCGAGATCCCTAGAATTTTAATTTCAAATTTCCTAAACTGATATGCTCGCTTCAGTTCCGGGATTCGAAATAAATTAAGCTTGAATTCAGCACACTCGATTACTTATTGACAAACTTCAGAAATGCCAAAAGAACCCTTTTTGTCTATTTCTTTCTAGGGTCCAGTTCACTTCTGCCCTTATTAAAATAACTTCAAATTAAATTATTTATTGTAAACGCATGAATTTCATATAAAATAAAATTAATTCTGGAATATGTATGTATTTTTACATGTTTAAAATATTGTAAATCTCAACCTCTTTTCTGACGATAAAAAAATTTAAGAATTGAAAATTTTTTTTAACTTTTTATGATCTGTAAAATATCATAGAAACAACAGATTTTCCCAAGAAGTTCCTCGTAAATAATTCTTTCAGCAATTTCTTTTTAATAATTTAAAAACTACTATGTTATTGAAAGACGGCTTTTATACTTAAATTACTAATTTTTTGGTACATTTATAAAATGAAATTTTAAGTTTTTTTAGATTTAAGAATTTTTTAAAATTAATTTTCTATTAATTTAAAAATAAGTCTATTTAATTAATCATATTTCTGTAAAAATCCAATACATTCTTCAACATCCTCTTTTGAACCCAAAAAGATTGGTGTACGTTGATGAATAGTTGTTGGATGAATGTCTAAAATTGGACCTTTTCCATGGCTTGCTAAACCTCCAGCATTTTCCATAATAAAAGCCATTGGGTTGCATTCATATAGAAGACGGAGTTTTCCATTTTGGGCATCTTTAATTTTAATTATTTTTTGGAAAAATATTTTAAAATAAATTTAGAGAGGATTAATGTTCGATTTCCGTCATTTTCCTCGGTTTTATCACTAAAAAATCCAGTACATTTTTTAGGTCCAGTAGACAAGCAATTTTTAGTCAATAACCAAAAAAGGGTCCTGCAAAGGATTTTCCAAGGAATTACTCAAATAAGTTTAATATTTGGAAGAAAAAGATGTTTATAATTAGGATTGAGTTTCGTCCCAATTTGGTCCATAAATCAACTCGTTGGGTATTAAAAAAAGTAAATATGTATACCACTAGTTGCTGGGTACATAAAAATTCCGCCGTAAAGGAGAGTACGGTGTACATCGGCCACCTAAATAGGAAATTTTAAAATTGAAAATTAAGAAAAACCATAGAGCCAACATAACGCTGACCATAAGCAGATTTTCCACCTTCCGGAAATTTACGTGAATAAATATATTCGGTAATACCTAAAAAAATTAAATTATAAATCAATTAAACCTCACCAACCTTTAGACCATTTCTTTGCATAACCTTCGTTTATACTATAAATTTTTCCTTTCTTTGGCACCTTCATTGCTGGATTTGTTAGGATAAACTCACCAATACTCTATAATTAAAAAATTTTTTTAGTTGTCCGCAAAAATTTTGCGGATTAAAAATGCGGACAGAAAAGGCTTACTGGATCCAAGGTGAAGCCATCAACACGTCCCGGAGTCGAAAGAACAACCATTGTTGCAGACCCATACAAAGCTATAAAAACAAATTTAGGGGGTTATAAAAGAATTTGTTTTACCATAACCAGCAGCTACCATTTTTCTGCCTAAATTTTGGAATAATTACAGACTATTTTTTAATTATGAACCTGGCTGTAATACATCTTGAGGTTGAATTGGGCCTTCGCTATTCTTTCGGAAAATGCCAAAAATCGTTCCAATCGAAACGAGACAGTCAATATTTGAGGATCCATCGAGAGGATCAAATGTCACAATATATTTACCTTAATTTAAAAATCAGAATAAAAGAATGGCTGATACGAGGCTAAAATTAAGGGTTGTAGGCAAGAGTTATGGACCTTAACTATTATCTAAAATTTCCAAGTTCTGGACAGAAAACAGAAGAATGAGCAGTAATATTATAGGCAATATTACTTAAAAGAGGGAGGGAGAGGCATTTCGACTTAACGCATTTCCTTTATTAGAATGCCATGGCATTCTATTTTTCAATCACCTTCAAGGGTGGTATTCTATTAGAGGGTGGTATTCAAATAGAGGAAATACGGTATCTCAACTTGCTGTCTTTTCCCAGTCCTTTTTTCCTATCTTTGGTACCTCCTAGATATCTACGCTCCCTGCTTTACCCTATTCTAAAATGGTACCTTGCTTTCCTACTTCCACCTCAATCATATTTTCATCCTCCTCTGATACCATAGCGCAAACAGTGTAAGAGGATTTTAACATATTTATCATCAACTTTAAAAAATTTTCTTTAAATTTTCAACTAATCCCCTAATCAACCTCATTACTAAGCACATCAAGTTTCTTGACTTCCTCTCCTTGTACATTAACATTCCCAGCGACTCCATAAAGCTGTGCTAATCCTGCCTTTCTAACAGCTGAGGAGATAGCCTTAACAGCTGTGAGAAGACTAGTTAGTAGATTCTAAAAAGGAAAATAGGGAATTTTTTGAAATTTCAGAAAATTTCTAAAAATTTTTTTGAAGGAAATTTTTAAAAAAATTTTTGAAAATTTTTGAAAATTTTTAAAAAATTTATCAAAAAAAATTTTTTTTGAGAAAATTTTTTCCCAAAAATTTCTCAAAAATCAATATTTTTACAGTTAAATCTCCTGTAGCTTCCGGATATTTACGCTGCTCGTTCAGTACAAATCTTTGTAAAGTTACTGAATCTGTTTCAATTCCGTATTCAGAAGGCATTTTTAAAAAATAAAATTTAAATATTTAAAATCTAAAAATAAATTAGTTTTCTATTTATTTGGGGAGGAAGGAATGGAAAAAATGTAAAATATATTAAAATAAACTAAACCAGGGTTACGATTCGTACTTTATTTGAAAGTACAGTACTTTAAAATCGACCTCCGTACTTACGAAATTGAATTTGTACTTTATTGAAAGTATGTACTTTAAAATCAACATTTTGAAAAAAATGGAAGAAATCTGGCTTAAGGACCCCCAAATTTCTCAAAATTTTCGCCTGCGGCGCAAAAAAATAGATTTTTTGGCGCTTTCGGCTCCACAAAAATGCATTGAAATGCACAAAATGCTTGGTGGAAACAAAAAATTATTAAAAAAGATTCATTTAGGAGAGAAATATGAAAGATTTGAGCATGAATAAATATTTTCTAATTTAATTTTGAGTGTACTTTAAATTTGGAAATTTAGCCCCAATGTACTTTTAAATCAAGATTTTTGTACTTTTGATGGGCATTTTGTCGATCGTAACCCTGAACTAAACATATGACTTGAAAGAACGCGGAAAAGGGAATGACCCCCCTCATAAATTGTACTTGTAAGGAAGGAAAATTTTAAGAGAAAAATTGACAAAGGAAAGTTATTCGAAGAAGATAAGATACCTATATTTTGTTAACTGATTGATTTTTTTTCTAAAAAGATAAAAAATAAAAAATAGGTACAAATGGATCAGGATGGGTTCCGCCAAATTTTAAAAAGCGTAAGACCTAACATAGGAAAAGCCGTGGGGTGTCCGTAGGACTTCGGGATGAAATTTGGTAGACAGATAGTTGTGAACCTATCTTAGTTGTCCTGATTGGGAAAATTAAGTCCCACGGACACCCAACAGCCTCTTTTTTGTAAGGCGGAAAAAAATAAAAAATGGAAGCAGCATCCCTGATATAGAAGGATGTACTTAGAATTTGGATAATTTTAAAAACTACCAATTTTATCCCAGTTTAAAATTTTTAACATTTTTTGTCTGAAAAGAGGGTTTGTTTACCACACATTATTTCCTTTTACAAGGCCAATCAATCCTCCGATAAACTCTTCTCTATTCCAACTCTTGACAATAAATGTGCAGAGTAAATAATCTTTTTGCACTGTCCCACATTTTATTGGGAATTTTTAGTAATAAAATTCATACATTATTGAAAATAATGATGATTGTATGTATAAATAACTATAAAAATTTTAAAATACATATACCTAAATTCCATCAATTGTTGAGATTAGAGATTTTTCGGGTTACTAGAATCCAGGACTTTTTTCCGACCCGAAACCTAATCTAAGGGTTTCGGATCACATCACAACCTGGAACAATTTCTGAGGGTAAGTTCTTGATGAGATAGCATCATTTGATTCTAGTGTATTTTTAAAATGGTGTTATATTTAGTAGTATATTTTTGGCAAGTTTAATTGCCGTTGGTTATTGTTGCAATGCGAGACAATATTAGTAAAGCAGCCGGGCTATAGTTATTGCTCTCCTTCAGCTAGTGCAAAAGGTGAACCAGCATCTTCAGTAGACCGGACTGATGTGTTAGCCATTACAGCACGCCGACTACTGCACAGCCTTAGGAATTAAAAAAATTAAATTTACACAATGTATCCCCGGATCAAAATATTTTAGATCGCTAGATTAAATTGTTAAAATATTTCTTTACCAAAAACCTAATCTGCCAATGATCTAATTAAAATAAAATTTATGAGGAATATTTTATGACACTTTTTCGCAAGAATCTTCAGTCAAAACCAACTGCTTTCCACCCCTCCCCATTCAAAACAAACAAACAACTTTTTAACCCCTTTTAACAAGCATTTATTTAAAAAAGAATATTTGACATTTTTATAAAGCGTGGATTTGCTTTGTCTTTTTAATGGAAGAAAAATGAGAGGGAGAGATTTATTAAAGATAAAAATTATTTCCCTCATCAAAAATATATACATGAATATTTTTTTAGCTTTTCTCGATTTTATAAAAGTATTTACATATTTTCAGTTATAAATTTATTAAAAACATGTTTTTATACTTAAAAAATGTTAATCGTTTTATTACTATAAAATTTGTATTAAAATATTATTTTTGTAATAAAAGGGGAAATTTGGGGTAAATTTAAGTCAAAGTTTTGACTTAAAAATTGAAACAATGCTCCAGTTAAATAAACCTTGTTTGATAAATTTTTAATTCTAAATAAACTTAAATATGTAAATAATAAATAATTTAGAAAATCCTTTCCTTTTATAATACGTAAATATGAAAATTAAATCATTTCCAACTTGATTATCTAGGACAGGATAATAAACTTGAGATTTTGTAAAATAAATAAGAATTTTCCCCTTTAAATTAAAGTTTACTAAATTCAATCTTAAGTCTTCAATTCAAGTTTATTAAGTTTAGGTTTATTTTCAAGTTTTAGGTTGCTATCAAGTTTATGTTTCCTATTAAGTTTATTATTCATATTCAAGTTTATTTAATAACCTGAACTTAAGTTTAAGTTTAATAATTTCAACACAAATAAAAGTTTTATTCCTTTTTCCAACTTTTCTCCAACTTGTAAACTTGTTAAACCTAAAACTATAAAAATAATAACTAAAAGAGCCTCAACAAAAAAGTCTATATAATCCCAATAATATACAAAACTTTATTTCACTTTATTTAAAGTTTTATCATCCAAATAAAACAAGGCAATTGTTACTCTCGAAAATATTTTTACAAAAATTATTCCCCAAAATTTCCCCCAATATTTATGTACATCCATGACCGCCATTTTTCTGCGCCAATTTTTCTCTTCAATTTTATTATTAAAATATTTTTTTTTTATTTTTAATATTTTCCCCTCAATTACAATAAAATATATACAAAATCTCGTCCCTTCTCTTCTTTCTATTGTCAATTGCAACGTTGAATTAAATTGGAAAATTCTTTTATATAAATATTATCGTTCTTCCCAAATTTTCACGTGTCCAATTGTGTTGGGTCTTTAAGTTATTAGAAATATTTTGTGGGTGTTAAAGTGTTAAACTCTCGTTTTATTTATTAAACCCTCTTTTTTACCTCAAAATTCTTTAATTTTTCGTTTAACTATAAGAAGGTTTTTTTTTGGCGTGACATCAGGCGCGCGTCTGTAATATTGCCAAAAGAGCACCTAGAGCCATAAAATTTCGAGGAGATATAGCTATTATTGTCGATTGACATGGGATACGCCCAAGTAGGCGCGGTCACAATGGAGCAAAGCCATAACTAGCTGGAAAATTTCCGGCCCTTATCAATCATGTTATCAATCTCTTTAGCTCGATGGGTGTAATCGTTTAATACTGAATTTGGTAATATTCGGAAATCTTGAAGCAAGTTATGGCTTTGCGCCGTTATGGCCGCGCCCTTACTTGGGCTGTACCCGATTGACATCTTTAAATTTTTTAGAATTTTTGGTCAAGTACTTGGGGTGTTAAGGAAAGAAAAGTTAAAATTTTTACTAATATTTGTTAAGTTTTTAAGCATTTTCGATCATAATTTTAAAATTACTAAACAAAAAATTATTAAATTTATTGAATAGCTAGTCAATACATTGAAGAATATCTAAACAGAATTTTACAATTTTAAATTCACTCATTTTATCTTTACTCAAATGCGCGCCAAAACATTTTCTGCGCCGAAACATACAAAAATCTTATGATAAATATGCTTTACGAAGTTGTAAAAAACTTTGCTCTTTCACACTATTTGTTTAAATAAAACTTTAACTAAAAATGTATGGGTTAAAGCTAAATAACGTGGAAAAGCCCGAACAATAGAAAAGTGAGAGTGAAAAGAATTTTTAGGGGTTTTTGTATTTTTTGTTTGTTTGCTTTAATTCAATCAAAAGAGAAAGTTTTGTGGATGGCCTTATTTTTTTTTGAAAATAAATTTTTTAGTTTTTTTTAAATTAAAGAAGGAAGAATAATTTCTTTTTTTGGTTTTTGAAGAAATTTAATTTTGATCAAGTATTTGAGGTCTTAGCGTTTGTCTACAGGGGGACACAAAATTAACCCGGACACTTTATGCCATAACTTTATTCAAATTAAAGTTAATGAGATCAAATAAAGCTTAAATGGTAGAGAAATAAAAAATGAACAAAAAATCATAACCATCCTTTGCTGGGATACAGCAAAAACCATTTCATATTAATAATTTTCCATGGGAAACCCCTCCTTTATTTACAATATATGTCATTTTAATATTTAATTTTCTCGTACATATTTTTAAGGAAATTAATTTTTTTATCATTTAATCTTTTATTTTGATCTTTTTGTACTTTCCCTCAACATTCCTTCCTAAAATTACGTTTGATATTTTCCTAATTACTAAAATTTTTCTTTAACATAAATTCCTCTACTTCTTAATTTTCTTATCAATACTCTTAATATTCTGTTAATATTTATTTATTGATGTCAATTTAATTTAATTTTTGTTTTGCCCTCATTTTGTTGCTTTTTATTAATAATTTATTCAAAAAAACATTCATTCCTTTAATAAAAAATAATTTTGAGGAATTTAGAGTGTTTAATAAAGGCTGGAAAATGCGTGAATTAAAGGACCAGCTATGCACAGTGAGTTTATTTTTATGAATAAATGACTTGGCTTAACTTTTGGAATTATAGTAAAGTGTTTGGAATCCTAAAATTTTAAAATCGTACTTTTTATCAAGGCTAAAGTACGAGAATGTTGACGGAAAATTTTGGCAAATCTCCTGTCTTTTTCAGGATATTTACAATCACGATCCGCCAACTCTCGTCTTTAATAGTCAAAAATTTGTCAGAGCAATGCTCTAACATACAAAAATAAAATCTGGTGAAATCGCGAATATAATTGCATAATAACTATAACTTCAATCATAGCTTTTTAGAAGTTAATTTGAAATAAATTATATTAAGTAAAAGAATTGATGACAGTATATATATATAATATGCCTGTAGTATATCCAAAAGCTATAGCCAAAAGCTTTAGATAAAATCTCTGGGGCTCTTTCTATCATTGCAGTTCTTGCAGTTTAACTCTTGAAACTTTAATCTTAACTCTATCTTTCAAAAGTTAAAACTCTTAAATCTTTGAGTAAAAATAGTTTTTGTTCCTTCTACTTTTTTGAAGGCTAAATTCAATAAAGTCAAATTTCAATTATTGTTTATTTCCACGGAAAGATTTTTATCTAATTTTTAAATCAAAATCTTTATTTTTTTTTCTATTTCAAAATTTAACTCAATTTTGTACTTTTCAGCTGTTGGTTACTTTCCAAGACGACAAAGAGCCTGTAAGTCAAAGAAAAACGGAAAGGGATAATTTTTAGAATTTTGGGAAATAAGGGAAAGGGGAGGATCAAAAAGGGAGGATGGATTGCGCATTTGGCAATAAACAAAAAATTGAAGAGAATATCAATTTTAGGCCAAAACTAGTTTAAGGACAATAAACTTACTTAAAAGGGACAATAAACAATTTTTTGGAATTTTTGGGGTAAATGTGAGGGAATGATTTGAAGAGACAATCCTTTAATAGAGACTATAAAAACAGAAAAAATAAAAATGAGTAAAAAATAAAAAGAATCAAAAATAAAAATAAAAAAATATTTTACAAAATTTTTAGAACAAAGAAATAACAACGGCGCACACTTTTGCAAGCACTAAACAGGAGGATTATCCACAATATAGGCGTATAGTACATTCTAGACATACTGGTAAATATTAAAACTTTATTGGAGTATACTTGGGTAAAATAAACTTGAAAATCAGAATTTATAGAATAAATTTAAATCAGAAAATAAACTTGGTCAGCAATTTAAAATAAACTTGTCAGTTGATAAAAATAAACTTACTTAAAAATAAACTTGAAATAAAAATAAATTTTCAAATAAGCAGAACTTGAAAATCAGAATTTTTAAATATGAATTATCAGAAAATAAAATCAGAATATATGATAAATGTTTCAGAATTTAATAAAACTTGAAATCAGAATTTTGAAACTTTTTCGGATTAGAACAAAAAAATCAGAATAATCAGAATAAAATATATTCTGATTTTTTTGTTCTAATTCGAAAAAGTTTCAAAATTCTGATTTCAAGTTCTGTTAGTTATTTTGATATTCTGAAAAAAGTTTATTTTAATATTCTGATTCTGTATCTTCAATTTACAACTTTAATTTACAAAATGTCACTAATTTTTAGGTCACTTATTTTTAACATTTAATAATTATTATTTTTGTTTTACCTCCTCAATTATTTCCACACACTTCACATTTAATTTATTTTTAACTTTTTATTTTTTTCCTCTCATCTTTGTTTACTTTATTAGAAAGCAAAAATAATAATAATTTTTATTTATTTATTATTGCCGTCAATCTCTATCAAACTTCCCCTTCCCCCCCCTCCTCTTTTCCCTCCTTTCCCTCCAAATCTCCGTCAGTTTGCGTTTCCCTTCAATAAATCTCCCTCCGATTTGTTTGCCTTTTCCGCTCATTCATTTCCCTCAAAAACAGTCTTCTTTTCTACCTTCTTCCGTCTTCCTTTAGCTTTAACTATTTTTCTCGTTTTCATGACTTTCCGTTCTATCCGTCTGTCACCAATTGCCAGACTGACACCTTCCAAAAATTCCCTCCAAAATTCCCTCCTCCAAAAATTCAATTTAATATTCTAATCTATTATCGCGGAGAATGCGCATAGAGAATTGGCAGAAAAAGGGGTGAAAGGTGGATTATCCCTCCTATTGCTCATCTCTCTCCAAAAAATTTTATTTCCCAATAATTCTCTACAACTATACGATTTTTGTTTTTATTTACATTAAATTTTATTTGTTTGTTATTTTAACAATTTAGTTAGAAATTTTGTAGAATATTTCTCAGATTTTTTATTGAAACTCACCTATCCCCCCATTCATCCTCAATATTTTAAAGTTTAAATCTCTATATTATCCCACCTTCTAAGTTATCCAAAGCTTTAACATAGAATGGCTGTGATATGTCAGAACGACCTTAGATCAAATCAGACCTGATCACGGGTGTTGATTTTAGTACCCGTATCCGGATATTTACGGCGGATATCCGCAAGCATCTTGATATTATCTGTATCCATATCCGTGTCCATGAGCAGGTCCGGATCAACTTAAGCTTTAGTCTCTTAGTCTCTTACGTATCCCGATCAAATTTAGTTAATCACTTAACTTATCCAGCAACAGACTGTGATAAATGGGGAATTTTTCAATTTTTTTTTATAATTTTAAAAGCTTTCTTTAACCAATTTTGTCAGAAATAAGCTAAAACAAAAAGCATTAGAGAATTTAAGGGTAATTTACTGATAAGATGGAGGTGTGATAATTGATAGCGTTAATAATTTTTGCTATCATTTCCTTAATTCTTTTTAATTTTTAAAAATAAATTTTGCAGATCGTGATGAGTCTGGACGGCCATTAAGTGTTACAGAGCGTCTATCGCAGTCCTCCCTCTCCGCATCGATAGGGCCTCTTGGCTCTGATATGGTAAAAGCAATTAAAAAATGACAAAAAAAATTTTCATTTCTTTTTTAATCAAAAAATAATTTCCATGAATGACAAATCATTTTATTTAATTTATTTTTAAAAAAAGGTTGAACATCGCCGCGCTCTTTCATCTCCACCTTTCTCAGTTACGGTTAGTCCAAATTCTCCTAATATAGAGAAGCCTAAAAGTGTGCCACAAATAAATAATCAAAGACAACATAATTCTATATCATTGCCAAGAAGTGTTGATCCTCTTTTAACTATACACGAGGTAATTTAAATTAGAAGGATTTGAGATTTATGCTAATCCTAGACAAGGTAGGAGTTCAATAAAAAAATCTAGGCTTGAATAATTACCATTTTTCAATCCCTAGAACACCCTGGAAAAGAGATTGTCAGTGAGATGAATTTAGACTAGAGTTATATTGGTTATCGGTATTTTCCGAGAAAATTTATTGTGCAATCCTTAATTTTGGTCTTATTGTTTCATCCCTATCAGTAGGGTTGGTTCCTTCTCCGTCCCTGAAAGTCGGGGAATTAAGGAGATTTTTTAAAAATCTCCTCCCCCCACCGTCGGGGACCAACCCTACATATCAGCACTACAGATTGAAATCATCGTGTTTTATCTTTTTTGTTTCCGGATGCTCAAAATCTACTTAAAGCTCTACCTAACTAGGCAGGACACGTAAGAATAGATTGGAGTTTTGCGAGACAATTTTTATAAGCTCTAAACGGATTGCAGCTCTAAATTTAATTGAGAATTTTAATTTTAGATATTCAATTAAAAATATTTTTCAGGTCTCCCTAGCCTATACAAGCCCAAAATCTACTACCCCAACTTCTGCCCCTCTACAAGAGCCAACATTCCCAAACAACACCCTCCCAGGCTTATTAATTGCCAAAAATAAACAAACAGCCCCAGCAACAATAACAACATTCCCAACATCTGGAAGTGTTCATATCCTTTTACCACCAAAAGAAGCTAATAAAACAATTAAAATAAATGGGAATCAAACAACTAAAACAATGAATACTAAATTACCTTATGTTGTTAAACGGCCAGAAGGGGATTGGGCTTATAATAGAAGTAATGGACAATTACAGGTAAATTAAAGGGAAAAATTTATAGTGGAGAGGACAAGGAAATAAAAATTTTAAAAAAATTTTGTGGGAAAGAGTCACGTGATATTTGATAATAAATATTTAAAAAATTGAGATTCTGTCAGAGCTCTCTTAATTGAAACACTTCACGACCGGGAAGAGAACCTCCACTAAGTTTATTAAATAACTATTTCGTCGATTTTTCTATAATTCGACATATCTAGATGAGAAAATCTAACGGTATAAAATCGGACAAGTCAAAGAAACGGGATTGTTTTAGGTTAGCATATGCCTGATTAAATAGAAACTCAAAGTTTTATTCCAGAAATTACTTTTACTACTTTTAAGCACCGCAGGCGGAATCTTTAAGATTATAAGGACAGGGAGTAATGTACGGAAATATTAACGGAAAATTTTGGCAAAAAGTTCGAGAAATTGCTGACATATGCAGGATATGTCCAGAAATGTCTGGATTTCCTGTTATTCATAAAATACGAACTACACGATCCTACAACCCTAAATTTAATCCTCAAAAAATTTGCCGGAGCATTGCCCCAACATACAAAAATAACTATATGGATTTTTCGAATGGCATTGATAAGTATGACTTTGATTCTAGTATTATTTAATTTAATTTGAAATATATTATATTAAACAAAATTACATATACGTCAGTTTTTATTCTTTCAAATCCACAAATTTTCGTTTTTCGACAGGCTAGGAAACCTAGTTTAAGGTTTCTGAACATCCCATACCGTTCTCAATAAATTGACTGATCAACTTCTGTTTTTATTTAAAAAATATTTTTTATCCTCCACAATTTTATGTAATCCCCCAACAAAGTTATGTTTACAAAAGCAGAATAATAACTAAAAATAATTTTTTTATTTTTATTTGCTATTGTGCAATAGAGCAGAAAAGCTGCTTTTCAATCGAGTTAAATATATTTATTTTCATTTTTATTTTTTTTCTACGAATATCATCATTCTCTTAAAAATCAAAATATTGAATTTATAAATCATTTTCTTCCCCCTTTTTTGAGTCAGATTGATTCTTGTTTTTTACGTTCACCTAGGGTGTGGCTGAACCCCTTATCTTTTTTTTTTATCAAATTATCAATTTTCAAAAATTTTTTCTCTCACTTTCAGATCTCTGATAAACCTCAAAAGTCGGGAATGGAACGACAGACATCAACAGCAACTTCAATTCCAACACGCGGAGAGGGAGGCACTACGGGAGACGCTGAAACAAGTATTATTCCAGTGCGTGTTCTTCAACAACAAAAAACTAAAAACGGCAGTAGTGGAACATATTCTACAGCTGCGGGAAGCATTGACAAGAAGGGGAGGGGGAAGAATGGGGAGATGGAACAGCAAAAAGCTTCAAGGTGGGAAATAAAAAAATGAAAGGTTAAATGAGTTAAAAGGGGTGAATAGGCAAGGAAATAATTAAGAAGATTAAAAAACGTGAGCAAGCAAGAAGGAGGTGAATGAGGAAAGGAAAAAGTGAAATGAGAACGTGAAGGGAGAGGAAGAGCCAGAAATATATGAGTATGTTCCCTTCACACTACCCCGGCTGTTCCCTTCACACTACCCCTAATATGTTCCCTTGACAATACCCAGGCTGTTCCCTTCACACTACCCCGGCTGTTCCCTTCACACTACCCCGGCTGTTCCCTTCACACTACCCCGGCTGTTCCCTTCACACTACCCCGGCTGTTCCCTTCACAATAACCGTTCCCTACCCACTACCCCTAATATGTTCCTTTCACACTACCTGTTCCCTTCACACTACCCCGGTCTCTTCCTTCTAAATTTTACCTATCAAGTCTAATATTTTTCCCTTCTCTTCTCTTCAATATTAAACCCATAAATATTTTACGAATTTGATTAAAAATCATCTTTTAGTGTGGAAAATTAATAAAAAATTCTCATTTGGGTTAATTCAATATCCCGCAGCTTTCCCGGTTTTTAGCATATTTTACCCGTTATTAATATGAAGGGGTTTAATTGAAGAAGAGCCGATTTTTGTGAGGAGGAATTGGAAGCAAAAATAGAGGAACGGCTCTCATTCATAGTCACCCTCCCTCCCTCACTGATTTTTCTTTCCTGCCAGCCGCGCTGACTTACCAAACATCAACCACCCACTTTTTATTTTCATTTTCTGGGCGGTATAATAAATGTTCTCCTCTATATTTTTCCCCTCTTGTTTACCTCTTTTGCCCCTGTTCACGTAAAAAAAGGGGAAAAAGGATTTAATAAATAATTCCCTGTTTCCACCTTTTTTTGGCCTCGTTCAGGTTCGTACTAAGCAAATGTTCCGATTAATATGTTCCGGAAAATTTTATGGCTTTCCATTTAGTCAATGCTTATTTTTTTCTAAAGCTTTCATTAAAGGAGAAAAAGAAATTTAAATTTAGAAAAGGCAGCAGTCCCCCCTCTTCAACAACTTCACGTCCATCAGTTATACCACCAGCACCACCACCACCACCCCCATTATCTACACAAATGAATGCCCCTATTAGTGGTGTATCTGGTCTTCCAATGCTTACCCATCATCAAAGTAAAAGTTATGAAAGTAGTGAACAATCTTCAATGAGAGAACAACGTGGGAAAGGCAAAGCAAAGACCGTCTTTCAAAAAACCACTTGTGAATTGCTTACAGAAAAGTCTGTCACAACTTTTGGGAAGCCAAGAGTTTTGAGGCAACAAGCTGTTGAACAACAAGTTTCTCAACAACACGTTCCTCCCAGCCAACAACAATTTCCTTCCTCTCCACAAAGCATTCCTTTCACCCCACAGAATGTTCCCCCCAGTCAACATAATGCCCCTCCTTCCGCTCAACAACCTAGAGGATTGCCACGTTTTAAACATGATACTGACCGTGAAATGGAAGCACACCTCATCACGAGATATGATAATGGTAATGGAAGGATTGTTGAAGAAGAAAGAAGACCAATACCTCAACCAAGAGGAGGGATATCGCCATTGAGGGAAATTCAAAAGCCCGAAGATCAACAGAGAAAAGATATCCTTATGCAAGAACAATCTCGATCAGTTGAACAATTTCGACGGTCAACTACCAAAAATGGAACTACTAATATTTTGAAGCCATTACTTATCGAATCTGAGCCTGCAAAGACAAGAATTCTTTCATCCCCAGAAGAAAATGGCCATAAGCCTGTTGTTATATTACCTACTAAAGCACGCCCTGAAGTTCAGAAACCTCGTTTAATTGACTACGCTACTTATAAACGTGAAGTTCAAGAGCTTCAAAGAAGAGCTGCTAAGGTTGACAACAGAGGGGTTTATGAGGAGGTTACAACACCCCCCTTACCTCCCCCAATGAGCCCGGCTATTGTACTTCCGAGGAAACAACCATCTCTTGATAAGACAACTTTGACTGGTCAGCGTGTACAAAAGTCCAAGGATGCTGAACCTGCTATGGAGACGACAATAAGGTAAAAGTTAGATTATGGAGCTAAAAGAATGGAAAACATAAGAATACTCTCAATTTATGATACATCCCATTATAATAGGGTAAAACCTTATAGGAGAGATGTTCTTATAGGAAGGTATGATTTTAACAAAACTTGTAAAATCTGATAACTATGGACAAGATTATCAGTCAAATTACAAACCTCGATTTCATGAAATTTCCCATCTTGCAGATATTTTGCCAGAGAAGAGCTTTGGGAGAAACGAGGAGGTCTTCCTTCTACCGAACCTATACTTTCCTCACGCCGTGAAGGGAGCTCTTCAGAGGAGGAAATGAAAAGATTGGAAGAAGCTAGACTTAAAAGGGAAGCTGAAGAAGCCAAATTAAGAAGAGAACGAGCTGCAATTGAAGAAAAAAGAAGAATTGAGTTGGAACAGCAAAGGAGGAGACGTTTGGCTGAGGAAGAGGCTTTGGAGGCTGCGAGGAGAAGAAAAGCTATTGAAGTAAAAAATAAAAGGAAAATATCTAAAAATTCTTTTTAATTTTCAGATTGAAGAAGAAAAACGAAAAATTTTGTTGGAAAAACAAGAAAAAGCGGCAGAAGCTGCTCGACGACCTCCTGCCCCTCCCATCACCTCTAGCCATTCCACTTCCTTCTATGAAAGTTTTGAACGTTTTAGTAGTAGAACAACAAGTTTAGCAACCCCAACAGTTCCTATAGAAAGTAAACAGCCGGCAGTTAAAGACCAAATTCAATTAATTCCGGCTGTTCCCTTAACTATAACAGAATGGGCTGTTCCTATTAAGATGGCTGAGGAGAAGAAAACAGAGGAATTGACTCCTAAAGGAAGGGAGGTTGTAAAGAAGGAAGAGCCGATCAAACAAGAATTAGCTGTAAATAATATTTTTTTAATTTTTGAATTGGGAAATTTTTTCGGAATTTTTTGAAATTAAAAAAATTTTTTAAAGAAAATCCCAGCAAGAGAATATGAAGAGATTGACACCTCTACTGATGCTGGTAAACGACTTTTTGAACAATTAAAACGAGAATTGGAATATGAAGAGGAAATTGATACAGAAGTTAGAAGAATGAGAAGAGCTAAAGGGGAAGATAAAAAAGAAGGGGAAGAGGAGGAGGAGGAATTGGGAAGTGTGGGACAGACCTTGGAACATTCCCCTCCAATACTTCCATCTTCGACTGAAGGGGAAATGGATTCCGAACCTGTGGAGGAAGCTCCTTCGTCTGTTACTGAGGAGGCAAATGGGCATTGGAGAGAGCACTGGGTAAATTTATTTTTGTTTAGGAAAATCTATATCTTATCACACCTTCTACCTTTTAAATTTTTATCTTATCCCACATATTTTATCTTGTCTCTTCGTTATCAATGACATATCCCACAATTTAGTACAGCCTCAAAGTTATCACATGCAGAGGAGGATAAGATAGCTAAGGTTCTCTCTCAAAAAAAAATAACTTAGAGGGTTCCAAGAATTTCTAGTCTTTTGGGTAGAAAATGGGGGAGGGGGTGGGGTTCAAGGAATTCTAATCAAATATAAATATTTTTTATGAAAGTGAAGAGGAATAAATTTGATTTCCAATAAAGATCCGAAAATATTAATTCCTCGTTCATGAAGAGGAAAATGGGGGCATGAAAATGAGGGCATTCTCTCTCTTAAAAAATAAATATGGGAAGTTATTGTTCAAATACTTTTTTAACTCCCCAATAAAAATTCCTCAAATTTCTTTTAATTAAAGGGTGAAATCAGTAACGGCATCGGAGGGGGAGTGCTTTCCCCTAGACATGCAGTTAAGGTGTCCATGTCAGGGGAATTGCCGCCTCTAATGGAGGAAGAGGAAGAAATGCAGCCATCATCTACTTTGGATGCGCGATTGGAGGCGGTCAGTTATTTTTCTTGTTATTTTAAAGGAAAATAATTTGGAAGAAAATTTGAGTGGAGGATTAAGTAGTATATCCGTTAAATGCCCTTTTGGCGGTAGTTGAGTTGTCTTTTTTCATAAATTTTTAGAAAATTAAAGTTTCTTAAGTGTTCTTTTTATCATTCGATAGCTAACAAAATATTTTATTAAATAAATACCCTAATTTTGGGAAAATCTTTAAAAAATTTTATTTTTGAAAATTTTTGAAAAACTTCAAAGAATCACGTTTTTTCTGGAAGGAGACGTCTTATCTTCTACCATAACTTTGTTTTCCTTTCTTCCAAAATTTTAGTTGTTTATTATTTTGTACCCCATTTAATCCTCTTTCAAGTAAACTAAAAAACTTGAAAAATGATTCATTTGTTCTCAAGTTATAAATAAAGAATTGAGCTGAGGTTATTGTTCTATAAGACCCATTCATTTTCTTTTACCTTTTTTAATTTAAAAATAAATTGTCATACAATTTTTTTAAAATTTTTTTCTAAAAAATCTTTCCTCCTTTTCATTGTACTATTTATTCAAAAAATGCCGTCATTCAAAAATTACAAAAAAATTTTTTTTATTTTATTTTTCCTTTTATTTTTACCGCCTATTGTACTCCTTCTCTCCCTATTATTCCCCATCTTCTTTTCAAAGTTTAATTTTAATTCCCATATTATTCCTTTAAATATAATTTTTAATTTTTTAAAATTTCTAATTCATTCCTATCATTCCTTTTATTTTTTAAATTTAATTTTTTCCTTCCCAAAAATTCCATAAATTAATCAAAATATACTCTTCCGTTCCTACTTTTATTTTTTAATCTATCTCAAGGTTTTCCCTCTCCCCATTGTTGAACAAACAAAAAATAAAAAAATATTATATATATTTTTGGCCCTTTTTAATTCTTTTCAATCGTTATCTTCTTTCCTTCCAAACTAGAGAATTTTTGTTTGATTGTTATCATCCATAATGCAAACGGTACGGTGAAGGTAGTGCGAAGGGAACATTTGGGCGCGGGTTTATAAAATTGCAAATGAACATTTTGGGGACGTGAAATTTTGTACAGACGTTTTATTGAGGTTATTTAACATTTCTAAAAAATTCAGAAAGTTTGGCAAACTTATCGTGGATTTTAAAATTTTTTTATAGAAACTTGAAACGTTTTAAAGCTTTATTTAACCTCGATTTAAAAAATTTCTCTAGCTTAAAATATTTTTGTTCCCTACGCCCTACGTCTTATGTTCCTTTCAACCTACGTCCGATGTTCCCTACGCCTTACTCCTAATGTTCCTTTCACTCTACATACTGCCAATGTTCCTTACACCTTACTTTTGATATTTCCTTTACGCCTAACTATCCTAACCTAAAATTTTTTTGATGTTGCCATTCTTTTGATTTTTTATTTATTTATATTTCCCTCCCCCTTATTTTTCGCTTATCACTCACTATCAACTCTCTATTTACAGTTTTATTAAATTCCTATTTTTATTATTATTTTTCCCCAATTTATATATAAAATATAAATAGTTTGTCTGTCAATACAAAAGTTTGGTTTTTAATTCCTTCATTCTCTCCCTCCTATTCTCGTCAAAAAACACAAAAAAAGTCTCCCCAAAATATGGACAACAACAATTTATTGTTGAAGAGGAGACAACAAACATTATCCACAGAAACCAGAACTACAACAAACGGAAGTATCAACCAATTTCGAACGATTAGTGACGACAACGATGCCGATATTGAAGAAGAAATAGAAATTAAAACGTTGACAGGCCAAAGTGTTAATACAGACAGTCAACTGTCATTCCGTTCATCTCCAACTGTGCTACATTTTCCGTCTAATAATTACCATAAATTGCGAAAAGAGGTAAAAAATATCATCCCTCTTTTAAATAAATTTGTAAGTGTTTTTCTCAGATTTTTTTTTCAATTTTCCAATTTATTGTAAACCCCTTTCTTCTTCTTTTCACACCTTTTTTGTCCTATTTTCCAAGCATTTTTCTATTATTATACAAACTCTCTGTTGGAAATAAACTTATTCAAACATTGTATTTTTTTATTTTTCTTTCTCAAAATTGTAAATCAACATGTTTTTGCAACTTTGTTTAGAGAGAAAAAGGGAAAAACACAAACTTATTTTTGTATTTTTATGTATTTTTGTATTAACAAAGTTGGAAAAGTTTTAGAAAAAGTTGGAAACTTTACAAAAACTATCTGTGCGCCAAACAAGTTTTGTAAAGTATCAAAACTTTTTACAAACGCCAAAACTTTAAATTGGCGTTTTTGTGTGCTGTAAAACCTTCTTTTGCGCACAGCATACAATTTTTGCTTCCAATAATTCCCTTATAAGGGATTAAATTGATAAAAAAAATGGGAGGTATGGAAGGAATTATTTTAAATATTTTTTTATTATTGTACAATCTCGAGTAACCCCTAAACAAAAAGAGATTAATTTTCCATTAAATTGTTGTTGCATATTTAATAAGGGGAAAAGTAGTTGTTTACTCGACAACTGATTTTTCGGAAAATAAATAAAAATAATTATTTTGGGTATTTTATAGTAAAGAGAAAAAAGGTTGTAAAATGGTCAGACAACGGGGATTATTTTTGAAAAAATTTTTTTGATGAGCATTTTAATTGATAGAAGGGGTAAAGGGGAATGAATGTTTGTTGAAGTATTTCCGCCACTTAAAAATTTTTTTTTCGCGCATAGAAAAATTTTTTGGATTAAAGGGGTAAACAGAAAGACAAATTTGCACTCATTTTTCGTTTTTTTTTGTTTGTTTACTTTGGCGTTCTGTTTTTTTTCTTTTTATTTTTTAAAGCTTATTCTTTAAATATTAATGATTTTTTAAAAATATTTTTAAAATTCTCCTTTTGAAATAATCAAAGTTAGCGTATCCAGACTATTGTTATTACCATATTTACCTCTAATTAAATGCCCTAATCAATTTAAGTGCCCTCTTTAATTAAATGCCCCCTTGGAAGGTGATTGAAAAGGAAAAAAACACTAAATTAAATGTGTTTTTTGAAAAAAAACACTAAATTTTGAAAAAAAAACACTAAATTCATTGTCTACTATTTATATGTATTTGTTCCAAATAAAGGATTTGAAACAATTTTTAAAAATTCAAAAAAATTTCCTAATTGCCCTCTTTCTCATTAATACCTACATATAAATTTAATTTCCTTCCCCTTTTACAGCTTCAAACAAGCAGGGAAATCCCCGTTCGGAGACCACCTCTATCACTACCTCCACCTAAACCTCCACACAGTATTCCTTCTATTGGTGATCGACGTAGGGCAGATTCTTCATTTTCCTCTGCCTTCTCTGTCTTTCCGGTGTCACCGGCACATACGTGAGTTCGCTTAAAAATATCTTTTCTATTGTCCGAGAGTTTTCTGTACAGTTTGTTATTTAATACCACGTGTTTTTATACAAAAAAGTTGACAAATTATTGTTGACTATTTCGATTTTTTAAGAGGATTATAAAACAATTCCCACAAAAAACATTAAAAAATGTAAATTATATAGTGGAATTACAGAAAAAATAGTTTTTTTGGAAGGGGAGGAGAGGGAGCAATTTTCGAATACTATTACATATGTTAATACTTGAAGGTCAGATACATAGCCACTTTAATTTCATTTAGACTTTATACTACCTATTATTTCGATAGAGTTAATTTCCAATCTATGTCATTGGAATTGGGACCGGGCTTGGGGATCGATCGAGATTCGAGATTGATATTTCGAAAATTCTGACAAGATTCTTGGACGAGATATATTTCCGGTATTTAATGGGAATAAATGTGAGGAATGGAGGCTTAGGCTTATATCTTTCCCATGTTCTCCGTTTCTTGAAATTTTATTTTAAACTACCATGATGGAGATACTCCATCCCTTCTAATCCCACCTTTCCTTAAAATGCCTAAAAAGCTAATTAAATATTAAAAATTAGTATGGAATACAGCCCTGCTAGTAGCGACTACAGAAGTGCAATTTCCGCTCGTCAACACTTTCCTCGTTTAATGAGACCAATTTCGCCTGCACGTAATGCTTTAAAATTTTTTAGTTTAAAAATTTATTTTTAATTTTCTATTAGCAAGTGGAGGGCATAGTAGAGTGTTAAAAATGGTTAGCGAAACATCATCAATTAGCAGCAGACCCTTATCGCCTTATCCTGGCTCTACTGCTGCTTCCGCTATTCGAGATACTAGAGAACGTGAAAAGAAGGAAATGAGTGATTTAAATGATAGATTGGCTATTTATATTGAAAAGGTAATTATTGGGTTACATTGTAAGTATGAATGATTCATATGGAAGTCTGAGCTTAGTAGACCTAACCTTAGAGGTACTAAGTTTAGACTTTGACCTTAGAGGTCGATCTTATTCACACGTTCTTTGTTCTGATACCTACCATCTTACAAGTACGCGAGGCCACATCTTGATTCTCCTGATCTGATTGGAGGTATCCTCTAAAAATAAACGTGGTACACATTTATAAAGCCTAACAAGAATAAAGATTCATTCCCTTCACTTTCATGGTTCCGTGACTTTTGCGCCGAGAACATTTGCGCCGCGACTTATGCGCCGCGACTTTTGCGCCGCGACTTATGCGCCGAGCGACTTTTGCGCCGGGGGACTTTTGCGCCGCGACTTTTGCGCCGGGCGACTTTTGCGCCGCCACTATCATTAAAAATATATCAATAACTACAGCCGGACCTCACTTTAGTAGGGATGTCGAATAGTTGGAAATCTTCGGATGTGATATCCGAACTGAAAATTTCGGATATCCGTCATTTTTCGGATCCGGATTTTCTAAACAATGGCGGCGCAAAAGTCGCGGCGCATAAGTCGCGGCGCAAATGTTCTCGGCGCAAAAGTCGTGATACCACTTTCATCTAGGACTATGTATTATTGTTTTATTCCAACAATATTCACTTAATAGGTCCGTTTCCTCGAAGCACAAAACAGAAAGTTGGCTGTTGATTTGGATTTTCTACGCAAGCGCTGGGGGAGAGATGCCTCCAATGTCCGTGATATGTTTGAAGCTGATTTGAGACAAGCCAGAAAACTTATAAATGAAACGGAAAAACAAAGAGAAGAGTTGGAACGTAAAGCTAGGGCAATGGCTGAAGAAATGGCACAATTAAAGAGAAAAAATGAAGAGGCTTCACATGTCCATGAAGAAGATAAGAAACGAATGGATGAATTATTGTTGAAATTGGCTGCTTTAGAGAGTGAATTGGCGGCACTGAGACGTCGAATAGCTATTGTAGAGGAAGATGTTAAGGTATTGAAGAGAGAGAATAGTCGACTTACTGGAGAATTACAAAGGACAAAAACTGTAAGTTAATTTGGATTAAGGGAACATTTCAAAAAACATGATTGGAATTATAAGCTGACCAAAATTCGCTAGAAGGGGAGTCATGAACAAAAAAGGGATTCTCACATTAAATTCAAAAGATATTATCTATCACGACAAAATATCTGTAAATTAGCTCTAAATGAAGTAGTAGATAGTTGAAGTATTTTCACTTTTGTCAGTGTACATCACTGACTTCAAAAAATAAAAATAACAGGAAAAAGGATTGCAATTTTTGGAGCTGAAAATTTTAATTAAATAGGATTTATTTTACATTATTTAATATTAAGTAAATTTGAGACTATATAGAATCTCATTGAGTAATCTAATTCAATAGTGAAAGTACCTACTTATTATCACTCCACACTTAATAAGTATTATTTGTCCAACCATAGCATAGACCCCAAAAATATTAAAAACAAATACGAAAATTTTAAAATTGACAAAAAGGTTTTGATTAAATAGTTTTTATAAGGAATTATTTAATATTAAGTAAAATTGATAAATCTATCTCTTTAGATTTTATTAAAAAACTGCCATTAAAATTCTTTAGAAAAGGTTCTTTTTAATAGTAAATTTAAAATATCTAGTATATATTTAATGAAATTAAATCTGTTAACAGGAATTGGACCAAGAAACACTCAACAGAATTGATCATCAAAACCAAGTCCAGACATTATTGGAAGAATTAGACTTTCTCCGGCGTGCCCACGACCAAGAAATTCAAGATTTACAAGCAATGGCTGCTCGGGACACAACACAAGAAAATCGTGAATTTTTCCGGAATGAATTGGCTTCGGCAATGAGGGAGATTAGAGAGGATTATGAGAGAATAAATAGTCGAAATAGAACAGATATAGAGTCTTGGTATAAATTAAAAGTACAGGAAATACAGACACAATCAGCCAGACAAAGTATGGAACATAATTATGCTAAAGAAGAAATTAAACGATTACGGACTCAGTTGGGCGATTTGAGGGGGAAATTGGCTGACTTGGAGGGGAAGGTACTAAAAATTAGAATTATTTAAAAAATTACTATTTAAAATAGGTATAATTAACGTAAACATTAACGTGTATACATTTAAATATCGTAATCTTTCACACAACTTTCTCTCCAATATAATGTTCATTTGAGCTTTATTGGGGAGGATTAGTCGGATATTTTTCCCATTAAAATAAGCAAATCGGCTGTGAAATGTACATATAGGGCACTTCTCGGCCCTATATGTTTGGACACTTGAAGGAGCGGCCTTACGAATATATCATTGTTGCCTTCTCCTACTATTGTACGTAATCTTTCCGATCTTAAAAGGATATATGATAGTCCGACTCTATGCTCTTTAAAGATAGGTCCCAAAGAAATAAAAATTCAAGTTGAAGATGGAGTAAAAATGCGTCACACAAAACAAAGTTTCACTTGGTCTATCTTCTGTCAGTATAAAACCTGACTTCAAAAAATGAATTATCTCGTTTATAAAACAACCATGAATAAAAATAAAACTTAAAACTTAAATATGAATTTTAATAAATTATTTAATATTAAGTAAATATTTTTCCTCCTTTCATTTCCAATTCCTAAATAATTTCTTTATAAAATTAAAAAAATTTCCATTTTCCCAACAGAATTCTCTTTTGGAAAAACAAGCGGAAGAATTAGCTTATCAATTAGAAGACGATCAAAGATCTTATGATTCAGCTTTGAATGACAGAGATACCCAAATACGCAGAATGAGAGATGAATGTCAAGCTTTAATGGTTGAATTACAAATGCTTTTGGACACAAAACAAACTTTGGATGCAGAAATTGCTATTTACAGAAGAATGTTGGAAGGGGAAGAAGATAGGGCTGGGCTTAAACAATTAGTTGAACAAGTTGTTAGAACACACCAAATTAAACAGAGTGATGAATCGGGTAGGGTTTATTGGATATTAAACTGAAATCTGGACCTTATTTTGAATTTTGAATACTTGTAGTAGTATGTTAGAGATATTTTGGGCTGAATTATGTAAAGCACATAGCTATTTATTTCTTAGGGATGTGCTTTAGGCGGCGTGGTCAGTCCGGTCTACTGAAAATGCTAATTTGCTCTCAGCCGCCGGGTAACCTATTGCACCAGTCAAGGAGAGAAATAGAATAGCGCGATACTAGTTAACGGAGATCCCAGAATTTGGGCAATTTCTTTTCTCAGGAACAAAAAAAGGCGATCCGGAACTGAGAACTAAAAGAAACAATAGGCCCCGTCTAGGGAAGATCCCTCAATTTCTTCCTATGGACATATTAATTTTCAGAGCTTCGAAGCCCCTAGGATAGGGTAAAAGTAATTCATTTACTAGCTGCCCCCTTATCCCAATCTCCGTTTAAAAATATTTTTTTCTTTCTCAGAATCTACACGAACCTTGAGAGGAGAAAAATCATCCCGTCAATCCTATCAACGTTTTGCAAAAGGAAATGTCTCCATTTTGGAAACGTCTTCTGAGGGTAAATATATTGTTTTGGAGAACACTCACAGGTCAAAAGAAGAACCTATTGGTGAATGGAAATTGAGAAGACGGATTGATGGAAGGAGGGAAATTGTCTATACATTCCCTAGAGATTTTGTTTTAAGGCCTGGAAAGACCGTTAAGGTAAAAATCTCAAAAACACATTTTAACCTCTATTTTGTAGACACTTTCGAACATTACTAAGGATAAGGTTATCTCACTGTATTGCGGTCTTTGTTAAACCTCTATATAATGTACATTCCCTAGTATTACCTTTTTTTAGTTTCATTACCGCTCTATTAATTTCTCCTTCAGCCAGAGAGATTATGTCAATTTCTCGTTTTTAATTAAAAAGAGACATTTAAAAAATATAATTTAATATTTTAACAAGATCTGGGCTAATGGACATGGAATACATTCTCCTCCAGACCAATTAGTTTATGAGGGTGAAGATACTTTTGGAGTTGGATATAATGTGCAAACAATACTTTACAATAGAGAAAATGAGGTGAGGAAATTTTTTGAAAATTTACCTTAAAATTACAAATTTTTGGTTTTTTAAAAATTTCAAAAAAAATTTTTGAAATTTTTAATTAAAAAATAATTTTGTAGGAACGTGCTTCACTTATTCAACGCTCTTCAGGCCGACAATAAATTGCAAAATTGAATTATAAATAATTTTAAATCGCTCAAATCCTTAGTAGTTTATTCCCTTTAAGAGCAATTTTTATTAAAATTTTCGCAAAATTTCCTGCCGAAAAAATTATAATTTTAGCCTTCGCGATTTTTAATTCTTTCATTATATAATTTTAAATAGAGTGGCATGGCCTTCTTTTAAATTTTATTTTTAAATAACCACAAATTTTGCACATTTTCACTTAAAATTAATGTATTTCTCTACTAGAGATTGGTGCTATCTCGAAAAAAATTATTTTACCCAGGAAAAATTTTTCTGAAAATTTTTTGAAATTAAATTTAAATTAAACCATCGTGGAGGGAAAGCCAAAAAGTCCTCAAATAAGATGAATCTACATAATAAATCGTTCGTTGTGTACGAAATAATCTCGTCCAATCTCTAGTAATTAATTTCGAGGAGGGTTGTCGGTTTGAGCTGATAAAGCGAGGACTTTTTTGATTCAGTTTCGACTGTCAAAAGAATTTTTAGAATATCACCCAACAACCCTCCTCAGTCTCTATTAATTTCTATAAATTATACATGGTCTTACAACATTTAATAGAGGCTCGGGGCTTTTATTTTAATTTTTTTTCTGTGGTAAAATAGCATACTAAATAATTTATAGAAATTAATTTTCCAAATTTTTTCACCACACAAATAATTTGCTTTCAAAATTCCGCAACTCTTATTTTTGTGAACTTTCTTTTAAAATATTTAAACTAGTCTAGGTCAAATTTTTGAATTATTAAATACCCCAGAAACTCTCCAAAAAATCCAAATTTTTGACCTAGATTTGGATCTGTCTTTTCTTTTTTTTGAAATTTCTATTCGTGCTAATTAATAATTTCTCTTTTATTTTCACTTCAGTAAATCTTATTTAAGTGTAATAAATTTAATTCAGTTGGACTTCTGATATAAACTTTACTTAATAAAATTTAAAATTAAATAAATTTATGTACCCTCTGGAAAAATAAAATAAAATTTTTAAAATAAAATTTCGATATAAAAGGCTCATAGAGATAAATACGTCTTTTATATTGAGTTGTCTCTATTAGCAAACGTTCAGATTCTAGGAAAATTTATGAGCTTTGCCATTAAGATGAGAGCATTTTAAAGTTTAACAATCTACAAATTATTGACAATTTGATTTTAACAAAGTAAAATATTTCATTTCGCCAATTGAGGGTTTTGGCAAAATAAATATACATATAGTACAATTAAGAAACTTTTGAGATCCGAACCGAAAATTTCGGTATCCGTATTTTTTTCGGATCCGAATATATTGGTCTTACAACCCTAAAACAGAGGTCCAACTATAAATTAAATAAAATATTAAATCTATATCCAGTTATTTATCTGTGGCCGTCCAAAAGGAAATTATTTACTTCCTTTCCCTGTGTTATTTTATGCAAATTTTTTTGTCTTAATTTTCAAATTTCAAATTATATAAAATAAATTTTCTAAAATTTAAAAGGAATTTAAAAAATAATTTTTAGAATTTTTAAAATAAAAGATTTTCTATTAAGGTTCCGGTTGAGTTAACCGTCCACAAGCAAACTAATTGAAAGTATAACTAAATTATAAAAAAAGTTTTACTTAATATCTTCTATTTAATTGAACTTGAATTAAATGTTTGAATGCGAACCGAGATCTAACTTACATAGCACGCAAAGCAACTATATTTTTGTATGTCAGTGTTAATAACTGACAATTTTGGTTTTGTGTAAACATGAAAGATCGAACGAAGAGATTTAAAAATATAAGACCGAAAGATTTTGAGATGAAGATTAAGGCTGATTCCTAAAACAGTGCCAAGACTTGACTCCGAAAATTTTCGAGCTTTCGGTTTGATTTGAAACCGACAACCTTACTCAAGACCAATAATTAGTAGGACTCAAGACAATTTTAAGGGCAATTCTTGGTTTACTTTTATTGCGTTAAATACGTACTCCTATAATTTTGAATAATTTATAGTAAATCTAATTAAAAATCTTAAAAATATATAGAGCTCTTGGTAACGAAGTCGCCAACATTTAGCCGTCTTAATTGATCAAGAAAAGTCTCAATTTTTAAAAACAATTTCGTCAGCGAAATGCTTAATTGAGTATTTTTGTACCTGTTAATTTAATTTTATGATTTTTTGAAAATTTGGTAAATTTAAAAATAAAATTTACAAAAATTGTGAAAGTGATTAAAAAAAGTAAATATGTAAAATTAAAAAAAATATCGTAAATCTTTAATAAAAGAATGGATAGAGAAATGTTTGAATTTTTGAAAATGGAACATTTTAAGCTGATAATGAAATATAAATTTTTCACAGAAACTATGGGAGAAGCTTTTTTCTGCGAAAAAAAAGCATTTGCTGAATAATTCTGTGGTTTTTGCATGTTTTGCAGATTTTGCGAATGAATTTTTGTTTGGGGTTTTGTCTTTGCTGATGTACCCATCTTGACTTTTTTGGGCTCTTGTCCAGTTTATGCGTCCAATTGACTTTTATGCGTCGAATGAAAGTTTATGCGTCCAATCAAAAGAAAATTGAATTTTTCGTGGTATTGCAAAGTAGGGGTATGGTTCCAAAGCATTTTTTCATATTCAGGACCTACGCACAATGGGTCTGGGACCGTTCCTTACCCTATCCCTCGAAATTTCTGAAAGTTGTAGCCAACTTTTAAAAATTTCGGAAAAACAATTATAACTTTCCTAAATTTCGAGGGATAGGGCAAGGAATGGTCCTAAAACCAGTGGACGTAGGTCCCGAATATGAAAAAATGTTTTGGTACATACCCCAACTTTGCAACACTAAGAAAAATCCAATTGTTTTTTGATCGGACGCATAAACTTTCATTGGACGCATAAATGTCGATTGGACGCATAAACTGGAGAAGAGCCTTTTTTTGAATTTTTACAAGATTTATCTTAGTTCCTTTATTTCCCTATGTCCAGATTTCGTAGCGTAACGTATTGTAAATCCGAAAAACTATATTATACTGAAGGTAGACGGTACGGCCTGACTACATACCTAAGTCATTTTTTGCGTAAAAACGGTTAATTTAAGGCAAAAATATCAGACTTTTCGGGTTTAAACCGGCCACGTCCAACTCTAACTTCTACATACTTACTCTTATTGCATTTTTGCCATCATCATACGAATACATTTTTTGTGTTAAAATAAAACCCTATCTGCCATTTACAATATAATTTATCAATGCAACGCATTGATATTCAAAAATAATGGTCCAATGTTTATGAATTTAGCAATTAATACATTACCAATTAATCTGATAAAATAATCATAATTTAAATAATTTATATTAAATAGATTTTTCAAATTTTTAATTATTTCTTTTTGTTGAGAAAAATAATCCTGCGAATTTGAGCTAAATTGTCTAAATACATACCTATCAATAAGCATATTGTCTATCAACTAGGGCTGTGCGCCATGGCGTTCTTACTGTGCATTTGTAGTATCATATTTTTGTATGTCAGTGTTAATAACTGACAATTTTGATTTTTTGTAAAAATAAATGACAGATAAAAGAGATTAAAGAAAAAATCCAAGACCAGAAATTTTCTAAGTTGAAGACCAAAGTGGTTCGGGTTGAAACCTTATCTAACACCGTGCCAAGACTTAGCCACGAAAATCTTCGTTTATTCGGTTCGGGTTGAAACCAACAACACTAGACAAGATCAAAAATTAGCAAGACTCACGTCAATTTTTCGGAGTTAAAGGCAAATTGTTTATTTTTATTGCGTTAAATATGAACACCTATAGTTTTGAAGAATTTATAGGAAATCTAATTAAAAATCAAAAATAGCTTTTGGCGATGAAGGCGCCAAAATTGATCAAAAGTCAAACTTGATCAGTAATCATGATTGATCAAGAAGACTCAATACCAAGTCTTTAACGTCTTTAAATATAATAAAAAACATGAACTGTGTTTATATAAATATTTTCCAAAACAGTCCTATTTTTGTTTATTATCTCAATGGTTTAAAAGTTGACACTGTATAATTTAAAATTTTAACGAAATTTTTCTGTTTGCATCCCTCACTACCATCGTTGATTATTAATCCATCTATTTTCTTGATTCCCTCTATTTCCTTCATCATCTAATTCATCACCATCAGAATCAATTATTGGATGCCTGTAAAGATGTAATGCTGAACCATTAGCTCTAGCAGCTTCCGCAACTGTTTGTTTTCCTATTGAAGATGTTGGGTAACTACTGACTCTTTCGGTTGTCGAATCTTGAATTAAAAATTTTGATGGGCTACGGGAGTGAATTAAGATGCCTGTATGATATCAAATTTTGGATTGATTAAAGTAACCACAGAGGCTATTTATGCATTTACATGTGGCGGGGAGTGTTATAGATTATATATAGTACTTGTTAGTTGAAGGTAACATCGGTACCTCGGGATTTACAAGTCTCCTTGGGGCGTGCCACCTTGTAAGTGCGATACAGGGACTACACTGAAGCAGATTTCATGTACTACCGGCGGACATCAAAATTTAGTCTCTTGTTAAGTGCATGTCGGGGGGGGTATCTTAGGGGGTAGGGGTATCTTATATTGAGTTCAGATAGTAATAAAAATCATTATACCCGGCTTCGAACTAATCTGACTACTTCCTTTTTCCTCATCTTTAATAGGTCTAAGAAAAGTCCCAATACTCATATCCGACTTTTCCCTCCCAGAATGACTCATTGATGCAAGTAATTGCCGTTGTTGTGACATTTCTCTCAAATGATGTTGTGATTCTCGAAGATTTAAATATTGCTCTAATTGATTCTTTGGAGTTTTATAATCCCGCCAATGTTGCCCTTCTCTTCTTCCAAAAAATATAAAACTTAAACAGAGAATACAAAGAAGGCAGAAAACTGCGAGTAGAGGGAAAACCTGAAAATTTTTTGATAATTTTTAAATTAAATTAAAGTGCGTGAATGAGGGTACGTTTCAGTGTGGAGTTCATAATGTA